GATCAGAAGCGTATCCTACTGGGTGCTTTCAGAGTTCAATGACGTGCATTGTTTTACGGACCAATCGACCGACCAACGGCGTTTCTGACCACGTGTTGACAATTTTAGACCGAGGGATACCGCTCAAGCGGCCCTGAATGCAATATGTCCTGTTCTGCGTTGTCAACAGTTGGCCAGGAACGCCATCGTTGGGTCGTCAGCCCGTGAAACAATGCACGTCGTTGAACTCTGAAAGCGGCCCACAAACCCACACATCTCAACTCTATGTAGTGATCATGTGTTGGCCTTATGCCTAACGTTTTAAGGAAGAGCACGAGTTAGTCAAGAGGACGAGCGCATTCTAGCTCCCCATTTTCGATCACGTTCATATTGGGTTGTCTAAAAAATCCTGCGACACTTGGAATTTGAGGATCGTTAGCTATTCGAAAGCGAATGGCGCCCAGTTTTGATATACGGTAAGGTAGACCACACCTAGCGGGTACTGCGAAATATTATAAAAAGGCTTCTTCTCTCACGGAAAAACAGTTATGGATCCTACAAATCCGAGTATACTTCGACCCGTCGTGTATTATGAATTACTACAAGGACATTCTGCAAGAGAAGCACCTAATAATATCTACGCTGCATTCAAGAAAGATATGGTACACCATCCCACTGTCAGTCGCTGGTGTCACCGCTTCGAGTCCGGAGATATTTCAATCGAAGGACAGGAACGTCCTGGAGGGAAATGTGATGGGATGCTTTACTGCGAATTCCTGGAAAGTGGCAGTACTGTGACGACGACGTACTCTAACCAGCTACAGAAAGTAGCCGATGCAGTCCTTCATAAGTATCCAAAACGGCTGGAAACCTATCTCCTGCACAACAACGCTCGCCCCCACGTGGCAACGATGGCGACGTCAGAAAATTCAGGAGGTGGGTTGGGAAGTACTACCTCATCCACCATATTCTCCTGTTCTAGCCCCTTCCGACTATCACTTGTTCCGGGCCTTAAAGCGGCACCTACGAGATAAGAATTTCGATAATCAGGAGCAACTCAAAATGGAGGTGGGCAACTTCTGCAGCACGCAATCCGCTGATTTCTGGAGAAGTGGGATCGACAAACTGCCAGTGAAATGGATGAAGGTCATCGATAATAACGGCGACTATATCACTGATTGGACTTGTCTTTCATTGTATAAAAAATGATGTAAAAATTTATGTTGTTAGTGTCGCATTATTTTCTGGACAACCCATTATAAAAGATGGTGCCTTGTGAGAATAACGTGCTCCATGGCCATAGTATCCTCACGAGACTCTTCGGGGCGCGCTCCGGCTAGCTGGCGGTAGGCGGGACCTATTCTGAAAGCACCAGCAGGAAGGCTGCTGTGAGAACGAAGAAAGACCGTCTTCAACCAGAAAGTATGTACTTCTCTCATTGTAAACGTCTAATACTACATACCGTGCTACGAGTAGCTCAATAAGAACTTAGCCTTTTTACGTCTTTGGTAACCTGTGAGCTGTGTTCTATCCCTTTCGCTCGTCAGTGCTCAGAAAATAACTCATGGTACTCGAGAGTATATTACGGAAATTTTGGCGCAAAATATTTTGGGTGTTTAAGAATTTAGAAGCTTTTTTCAACCCATTTTCGTGTTGATTATTCAGTGGTAATCGTGATTTGTATGTTTTCCTTTATTAAGGTCATAGTTGGGACAACGTTTAAGCAACTAGCTTTGTTTTTAGGTCCAAGATGTCAAGTGGAAAACGACGGAATCCACTTGGACTTAGCCTTCCCCCCACAGTGAACGAAAACGAAAAGGAGGATGGTACGAAGGAGGTAAAAGTATTACTGACTTGAACATACTTTTTAGCTGTGATCAGATTAATTTCTTCAAGAATTCTTAAATTCTCCAGGTAATAGCGCACTTATCAAAGTTACTGTAGTCTTTTCCTACTTTGAATGTTTAAGGCAGCATTTCTCGAATTTTCAGAAAAATTTTAGGGTTTAGAACATTACTATTCCTAAGCATGTTTTTTCTCAAGCCTGTTTTTTTTTNTTTTTTTTTATTTTTCATTATGGAATGTTTCAAACAGTTTGTGTCTTTCTCGTGTAACGCGCCTCACCTCAATTTGACCGATTTTGGGGGCCTGCTCTTATGTTATAATGCAAACCATTACATGCCCACATTCCAATTTTTCCAAAATCAACGGTGCAAAACATTTCTTGCAAGCTTTCCTCTTGCAAAATGGATAACATTGGGTGTCGGTTAGCTGTTGGTCTGATTAATTCCAAATTTTTAGGAAGAATTTTAGGAAACTGTCAGCTGAACAGTTCCTCTCAAACAAGCATTGAATGAGCTTACATCCTTGATATGCAGTTGTGTGGCGAGCAAATCATCACGTTTCCACCAAGGGCTGCCTTTAAGAACATCCTCTCATTCGGCGGATCTTAGTTCATAAGAGCAATATTTAATGAATGCGATTTTTGAAATACCTTTTTGAGTTCTCATAGTTCGGGATTCCTTCTTACTTGATTTTCGAAGCTTGTGGATGCGAAAATAAGTTATCATTAAAAAGAATATCCAATTTTGCACGTGTGGTCATTTGTTCTTTCCCTGATATTCGTGTTCGGAGAGTCAAACTACCTCAGGAATGATTTGCTTCCATTATTTGAATTTTGTTTCAACTTTCAAAATTGATCTGGGTTATGTAAACAATTTAAGTTCACCGCCTTACTGTTATGATTACTAATGTAAGTTTAATCACAGTGATGAACCTGCTTATATAAATGCGATTTCTGAAGCTGCCTTCATTGTCGATTAAGGTTGTATCTACTTTCAGGAAGAAAACACTGCGCAAGTTAGTCTCGATGAACAGCTTAAACGACTGGGTTTGACTGAACCACAGAAGCAACGTATGAGTGAATGGATACAAGTGAAAGAAGCCATCAAGGTTGTTTACTTGTTTACTCAAACAGGAACAAAGCTTCTACAAAAATAATCCCTTTTTTCTATTCCGTTTTTTATTGAGTATTTCTTTGTGGACTGGGAAAACGAACGAGGTGCCCTGGCCTTTGTTTCAGTATTAGCATTTAGTACAGTATTTCTTAATATGTGCAAAAGTAATCCAGTCATGATTTAACCATTCGACAGCAATGTCTCTACTACAACCAAAGAAACCTCAAGTCGAAGTACTGTTCTAGCATCTGCCTGAATCTCAACTTTTACAACTCATCTAACCTCCTCTTAAACGACTAACATTCGTCAGAGCTTTCGTGAAAATTAATCACGAGCGGAGATTAATCGTTCCCTCCTGTGATATGCTGTCATGTTGTAAGACATTATCTTGAGCATTTTCAGCTTTCAAAGGAGCTTCAGTAACGTTTACCTCTCATTACGTATATTTTTCTAACTTTATACTTTTCTGCATGGCTTATTTTGCCTTGCATTTTGAGGATGAATCTGTTTCGTTTCATTTTATTTTTTGCCATAATATTATTTGAGGAACAAGAGCTATCCGAAGACATGCTGGAAAACGAAGGCGAACTCGGACACGGTAATGGAGGCGTTGTGCACAAGGTTGTTTTTACTTAATTATTTTTATTTCTCCCGCATAAATACTTAATGTGCTGCTTGTCATAAAGCATTTGACCGTATTGGTAACCACACGAAAGATTGCACAATATATTTTAGCAGTATGCCTGAGGGACGTTCGTGAAATGGTTTTTAATTAACTTCGAGACTCTCTTCCGTCTGTGTCCTAAGTGACTAGAAAGCTCAAGTTTACGCTCTGAAGATTTGCAAAGGATCGATTTCTACATGACATCGATTTGTGTTTATTTAAGGTTGTTCACAAAAAGAATGGCGTAACAATGGCTCGAAAACTGGTACATTTAGAGGTAAAGCCTTCAGTCAGGCAACAAATAGTAAAAGGTGCGTGAATTTTGTGTAATTTTCCTCTGTTTAGCCTGTGAGAAGTCGCACGTTGAGCCAAATTTTCTTTGTGCCATTAAAACGTTTTACATCTGCCGTCCAGTAAGGGCAGTATACCGTCCAACATGCTTGCCTTTACGATTTCTATAGTTTTTCTAGGCTCTGATTCATCTAGATCGATTACGGGATCAATGTGTGATCGCGCGTTTACCTTTCAATCCTGTCATGTTTGCTTTGTTCACATTTGAAAATCATCTCTTGGGCAGCTCCATTTTCGTTGCCATTCCTCCCCTATCCTTTTTTCATCTCAACGAGGTGACCCAGCGCTTTGTCGGTCATTACAAAAGTGTTCCAATTCTTTACGTTCCATTCCTTATCATAAGCCCGGAGTTTTTTTCTTTATTCTGGTCTGATATAATTAGTACGAAGCGGCCTGAAGGTTAGCAAAGAAGTCTTTTAATTGAAAAAGGTCCTGAATTTATTCCTCATGTATTATATTTCAGAGCTTGCCGTTTTACACAAATGTAACAGTCCGTATATAGTTGGTTTTTATGGAGCCTTCATCGATAATAATAATAGTGACATATCGATTTGCATGGAGTACATGGATGGGCTTTCTCTTGACATTGTTATGAAGAAGGTTTGTCTGCTCTCGTCACTCTAACTACAAGTACAAATCATTTCTTCTTCCTATGTAGGTTGGCCGAATCGCAGAGAAATTTGTTGGCAAAATCTCCGTAGCAGTAGTGCGAGGACTGGCGTACTTGAAAGATGAGATAAAGATTCTGCACAGAGGTAACTCTTCCTTCTTTTTTTTTGTTATAGTTGCATCTACTTGAGCGCAGCATGGTGAAGTTAATGTGAACTTTGACCTGGAGGTAAATAACTTAACCAACTTGGAGCACGTATTTGTTCTAGTCAAAGATGTGGTTCAGTTAATTCCGTCGCAGTCTAATTTATGCTATCGATATTAACTCATCCATCGTTCAGTTGCTACTTGTAGTTTTCTTGTTTTATATAGGCGAGGTGTCGTAGACGTTTTTCCATTTGGTTCTTTTCTAGACGTAAAACCATCGAATATGCTGGTGAATAGCAACGGCGAAATTAAACTTTGTGACTTTGGAGTGTCCGGAATGTTGATTGATAGTATGGCGAATTCGTTTGTTGGGACGAGATCCTACATGGCGGTAAGTTCAGTTGGAAGTTTAAGTGCCGATTTTTTATACTTCATATTATTTTATAGTGTCAAATACATTTTTATTAGCTGAGATCTTACTCAGTCCTTATTGCTGTCTAAAACATCATCTGTTCCCTGCTTCCCTGTTCCCGATCTCTGTGGTGCTTTTCTGTAAGATGTTTTTCCCTTCCAAAAGAAGGTCTCCTTATCAGAGAGAACTATTACAGTGCTGCCTCCAGCCTGACCGTTCAAACTTTCGCTCTGGACACATTGTTAGGTGTTGGGTTTTCTGATAATCGTATCGCGTTTGACTGTTGTCCTCAGTTTTTCTGACTGACTTCGAGAAAAGAATTTTCTTTTTGGCTTGTTAACTCCCTTCATAATTGTTAAACTTAATATTTTACTTGTTCGTAGAAACTCTAGTTATCATCCTACTCTGGCCTTGGCCTTCGAATGCCAAGACGATGAGCCTGCCGCTACCCTCCGCCATATTCAGCGCAAAAGCCGAATGTGTGGCCATGAGTGCTCCGAAACTGCACTTATGAAGCTGTTATGATGCATATTGCTTTTTGTTTAGAAGTTATGCTAAAAGAATTATATCATATTAGTAAAGCTTGTTAAAGAAGTACAATTAGTTGGATATTGATGAGTTGAACATACATGATCACGATTTTGCTTTGGGACAAGAAGTGCATTGCAGCCCGAACGGCTTACTGGATCACACTACTCTATTCAATCTGATATTTGGTCATTCGGACTGTCTCTCGTCGAACTTCTTATTGGACGATACCCGGTTCCGTCACCATCGAAGCACGAGTATTCTGTGATGTTTGGCATTCCCGAGTCACAAATTCAGTTGGCTGATGGGCGGGCCGACGTGAGTCGTTCCTTGTCAATTATAATCTCTTTATATATTCATGGTTTTAGTTGCATTCCGCTGTTTTTCGTCGTTTTACGTCTCTAGACATCTTCAAAATGGTTTCAGGCATGTTTTTTATGAGATTTTTTTATTATTGGATTCAGGTCCCGCCCTACCAGGCATCGAATAATCCTGCTGCTATGGCTATTTTTGAAATGCTAGACTACATTGTTAACGAACCGCCACCCACGTTACCGAAAGGCGTCTTCAGGTAATTTCTGATATTGAGCGATTCTGCCCTAAGCGACTAAGCGGTTGCGTTAACGAGCTTATGGAAGTAGAGCATTGTGTTGAGCGTTTTAATCATTTATCCAATCTTGTAGAGAATAGTGAGTATACATCAACTATCTCTAATTCAGCATGAGTGCAACTGGATATGGTGAACACTACCTCGCCCCATGCCCAAGTTTACTCGTTAAGCTTCTCAATAATCCTCAATAAGGAGTCAGCACTCTTTGCGAAACCATATGAATACTTATTCACGGCGCGCGATTGCGTGCAGCGTGCATTGCTCGCCACACGCGATTACGAGCTGCGAAGATTTAAATTTCCGCTGGAACTTGTGGTAAATGCGAAACCACCTTTTGTCATGGGAATTCAGTACAGAAACCGTCAAGGGGCGTGCATACCTGCTTAGCAGAGGAGTGGTTCCAGTTCTACCATCGACGTTTTGAGGCCACGCCATGCACCACTATCTCGAGATGGCGTTCCGGGATGTCTTCGGAAGGTCTCCTTTTCGAATTAGGTTTCCGCGAATGGATGTTCCAAGTTGCATTCTCTATCAATGCGCTGGAGAGTAATTAAAGCTGAAGCATTGCATGCATTACATTGCAACGCAATCCGGCGAATTGCGCAGCAAATGACGATTGAATCGAGCGCACCCATCCCCGGGATGGTGAGTTATCAGTATTACTTCGACATTGGACATGACTAAAACATACTTGTTCCTTCCGGGCACCATGCTTTATCACAAGCATGCATTTGAGTCTGTACAAGGCCGAAGTTTTGTGCATAGCTTTGCTATCTTAGTTGGATCTGAAACTTCGTAGACACTAGCAGCGTAGTGGCCAGATTCAGAGTTCGTGTACAGCCCATATAAACAGTTGTTCGACCATTTGAAGGTAAGATAAACAAGAAATGAGGAGCCGGATGTCATGCGCATTTTAGTGAGTAGTGTCCTAATAGAGTATTTCTATGAAACTTCATTACATTCCAGAAAATAAATCTGAACTACTACAAAACTTTGGACAGGAACTTCCTTAATGGCCTACTAGGTGACTTCCAGTGTGACCTAGGACCCATGCTTTCCTTGACCGAGACTGATGTGGATCTTCCGCCATGTCAGAAGGCTATGAATCAGACTTGAGCAGCAGGGCAGGAAATCAGTTTTGCTCCCGTCTATGTGTCCAGTTTTAAACTATGAGAACCAGATTTGAAGTTAATACACTCAAATAACCTAAAGGAAATGGGAATCATGCAGTGTCACATGCCCATACTGATTTGCAATTTCTAAGTGCAAGTTGTAGGGTAACAAATTCATTTCTTTCAGTACTGGAGTAACAACCACAGCAGAAGAGAATGACATTAGAGGCACTATTTTTTCAAGAAGGCGAGAGCAAGCGTGGTCTCGGTAGTGTAAGAGATAGGAGCACAGTGCCTGGGAAGCACAAGTACGGGTTCGTGTCCCAGATTGGAGTTTTGTCCACAAATCGTCAACTTTGTGAGACTTTTGGAACGCGTACTGAGGCGAAATAACGGCAGTTAACATAAAATCAAGTCAAAACACATTAATGACATTAGTTAGGTGCCAACTTGAATTGTAATTTCTTGGTGTTGAGCAGTCGGCACAAGGTCAGGGACAAAAATTCAGTACAGCAACCCTGTTTATACAGAGTTCATCCGCGAAACTTGGCTTTAACAAATTGCCCCAATGCAATATACACAGCCATTGTTTGCACGCTCGTTCGCATGTGTCTAAGCCCAAGGTCTCATTCTGGTGCGTCATATACGGGTGAAGGGTTGAGGATTTGTGCATACAAATATGATTCTATCTTGCGTTAAGCATATGGCATATGAAATTCCGCGTCCTTTGCATTTTATTCAATCGCAATGTAGAAATCAGTTCCCCATACTGTGTTTTCCTTGCTGTTGCACAAGATGGCGGATAGGTGGGGAAGACTGTGCCTTCAAAGTATACACAGTGGTAACTCTAAGTAATGGCATACGGAAACAGCTCACAAAAGGCAATTACATGCGCGACTTTTACTTAGGTGTTTTAGTTAATCGTCCACTTGCACTCGATTGCACTGCTATATTTCAGTGACGAGGCAGTCAATTTCGTATCGAAATGTCTAAAGAAGTTACCTGGTGAACGAGCAAATCTGAAGTCACTGTCGTCGGATCCTTTTTTCACCAGATATGCTGATGCAGACGATAACGGCGAATTTGCAAATTTTGTCACAGCCACGATTTCGATTCAACCGGTGCAATGAGGCGTTGCAGTAAGTTCTTCGAGTTTGATGTCGTTACAAACGTGGGTATGACCATAATATGACCATTATCTCATCATTTTGTCGAGCTCCCGGAAAGAAGTGATTTTTGTGGGATATTCTTGCAGGACTGAACAAATTGGTAAATTTCACCAAAGAGGAATTATGAGGGAAGGCATTCCTAAAACGCCCCATGATGAAATGGTTAGATGAACAAAAAAAAGAGGATTCCTTGTGGGAGTTGCGCGGTGCTAGAAATTATTGTCTTCGGATGGGAACACATGATGCAATGGACATTGGTGAGGCAGTCAGGCTGGCAGCTCTTTGCTGTTACTGACGAGGCATTCGGAGCAAGAATGCCAGAAATTTCTGATGTATTATGATTGGGAGGAGTGGTCCGAACAGATTTTGATGAGCAGTATAGAGTTCATAAAACGAGGTAGAATGTAGCGCCAAAAGTCCAATTTTTTACGGAAGCCTAGTATCGTCGTACTTCAGGTTCTCCAGGTTCTCATTCGACTTTACAGTGACATTAATCCCCTGAAAGATTCCCTTCGAAATGGGTATGGTGCTATAATTATCGCATGAGCAAATTTCAGTGTCCTGTTTCTGACAGTTGCTCAACTGTTCTTGATGTCGGTGGGAAATGACTGAGATAAAAAGAAGATGAGATAAGATGAAGCTATTACGATAGCTCTGCCAATGCCAACTACTTTCCTCCCGGTAAAAACTTTGCATTCTTGTCAAAAAAGCCTGCATATATCGTTCCCTTGTGCACAGTCTCTTTGTGGTTGTGTAACTTTACTACTTTCATCTGATGCTTATACGTTAACAATGAATTACTCATCAGTTGTGTGAAAGCATACTCATCAAATAGATGGTATCTCTTAATGGCACGCACGTGAATGATGTCTTCTCTTTGTTTTCTACGAATCCAGATTCAATTCTTATAAAAAAGGGGTTACCAAAGCTTGTTAGGTGGCACTTTGATGAGTATGTCATTCAAAGATATCTGTATAGCTTTATTTTTTCTCAAAGAAAATACCGTGAGGAGGTCAGAAAATACTCACACGTTCTCTATCTAGTAGTGTACTGTGATCGCACAATTAGCCGAGGTCTTCTGAATACAGAATATAGGAACCGAGAAGTCGTCCATGTTCAAAGTGTTACTTCTGATCAGACTAATCGAGACTTTTACCTAGGTCTTCATTAGGCTCGAATAGTGAGGGTTATTTGCCTTAATAAACTTTCAGCCGTTGTATGGAGTTCAAGAACTTAGTTTGTGAGCGAATTATGTAGAGTACAAGTTGAGATGTGCGTGCCCCCGAGTGGTTGCTGTAGACCTCTTCACCACCATGTCTGCTGGCCTGATGCGATCTGATTACGTTTGGCGAAGCAGCTATGACCCTGGTTGATATCGTATTGCTACGTAGTGCCGGTCGCCCATTCACCTTGCTTCATTATCACATAATCAGATTTCTTTCATATTTTGGAGGTAGCATTCATTTTTGTTAGCTGTATCTTGTACAATTCCGCAGTTTTAAGACCGCCCAAAATGGTATCAAATAAGCACCATATTTTATGAGCGCTGTTGATGCTGTGATGCTTATTATAGGGCTTATTCTTGTCTCGTTTAATTGTACTAAATTTACGCTCTTGTCATAATAAAAATAAACACTAATCGAGACCAACAGGTAAGGGGTGAAAAACGATGGTCCATAAGCTTCATCAGGCAAAGGTTGGAAGTGGCACTGTAAGCCTTAACTGTCTATCGACTTCATAGACACAGCATTGACTAGGCTTCCCTGGTCTAGCCTCCTCTAATTTTAGAGCACAACAGTTAGAAATTTAAAGTGAATACCCCAGAGTTTGAACCAATAATTTTTTCGGAACGATCCAAGGCTAACTGCCGCTTGTTTATCATCGTTAACCATCTCTTCTTTATGATACGATGAATCTTCGTGAGCTCCGCCTTATCTTCTGTGAGAGGCTTCCTTAGCAGAGATTGTATATTTGGGTGGGAATTTACTGCAGTGTTGTGCCTACGCGCGAGTTTTCTGGAGACCTTTCCGTTTTCGTGAACAGCAAGCACGTCAGCGTTCGAAACCTACAGGACATCCTTTTAATGGTGCTTTTAACCCATTGACGACCATGCAGTCCACATGTGGACTGCAGTTCTATTTTTTTGTTTTATTCATATATATTTCTATTTTTTTACAATTTTTCTTTTCAAACATTACAACAGGTTTAAATGAAACTACANTCTAAAAGACGATCGTCATTAGCATTTTCGCTGTTATCGACTAAACGCAAAGCTCCCAACGCAACGCAAATAAAAGTTTCCCGAAGCGATTTCTGGTAATGATTTAACTCATAACTGAATGACCACTAAAACGAGTGCCGATTCCAATATAAAGATCAATAATCACTCAATGTGGGCATTCGTACCAAACCCATTTGAAGGAACATTCCTAAAAACTTATAATTTTCTCTAATAAACTTCAAAAAATGGTCATGCTGGACCATGAAGTCCTCATGGGGGCTGCAGTGGGTGGACGAAAAGCGCGTCGGTCCCTCGCGGCGTTTTCACTCAAAACGCCGGGTCGTCAATGGGTTAAAGTGCGGTGAGAACCATCAGTTCTCTTGGAGCTTCAGAGGTCAGGCATGTAACAGCAACGGGCGTTTCCAGAGCACAGCGCTTAGCGTTGAGCGCGAAACTCGAAACGGCGTTAGCGTCCACGCCGCTGATGTTTGCGTGCTGTCAACACCGCTCGTCTATCGATACCGCAAGGGTAGGCGGTGACTAGTTTTTCGATCGAGTTTCTATTGGTTGTGTTATTCACTATCTCAGTTTTTTTATGTATACGGATTTCATTTTTTTCTTTGACTACAGTGGTTATGTGACGAGGGTATAGCATGGTGGAAGAGCTCTACGCAGCTTTGTATGAAAAATAATATAACGTGCTCTAACGCAAACGCCGTCAGCGGCAGCACTGTATGAAACCGCGGCATCGTCACTCAGCGCTTAATGCTCGACGCCCAACGCTGAACGCTGTACTCTGAAAAAGCCCCATGGGATCGAAGGACTCCATTGAAAATATGTCGAGTGAGATTGAAAGGATAGGTCTTTAAAGTTCAAATTTAGAGAAGGAAACCCCGCTCATTTTTGGAACAGATAGATCCAGGAGTATTATATGAATATTTCCATATGGAACCGTGCGTGTTCTTGAAATGTTCTTTTCTGCAAGTATGACACTTAGTTATCATATTTATTGTTGTTCATAATCATTTCTCTTTCTTTGTCTCCGTTGCACTGATTGTATGTCGCCCTGCAATAGCAAAAGATCTTCGTGCACATTTTTGATTTGACATATTATTGTTATGTTTTTGCTGAAATGATTCGTGAGCTGAGTAAATATTACAAATGATCAGGTGGTGTGTATTTTGAATGAGGGTTTCAATCCCATTTGCTGATTCGTATGATTTTGTTTTCATTAATTATTACGTCAGGTGAACAGTATTGCCGTGCACATTTCTCTCTAACCAAGGGCTGATTAAGGGATGTTACTCGTCTTCTATGATTGCACAACTTTATCCCATGTTCAGAAATATGAGTCGCTTGCGACATGTGCCTTATGGTTTTAAACAGTGTCACGTCACGATGTGCCCATCCCATTTGGTCACCTACGAATCTCTTTGGTAGATTAAAGGGTACGGAGCTGGCGTCAACCAAGAATTCTCTCGACGAGAGTCTTCGGGGGGATCCGTCTCCACGTGCCGTGTCCTTCGGCAAAGCATGGGTTTTGGGCGGCGGCAGTCTTCCTCGAAATGATCGTTCATGAAAAATGTGAATGGGGATTTGGCTTGAATATTGGTCGGAATAGGAAAGCGCCTTAGAAACGACCTTCGTTTCTCATTTCTTCACTAATGGGTGGGAAATAAAGCGCGATAGTTCAGAACAGACGAGTTTTCGCAGTCCACCAACTTCTTGTTCAGAGTTGCAAGTGAGTATCAAAATANTCTAATTTTGTTACGTTATGCTCCTATACCTCAAAGTGACATGCACTGGTATTAGCACATTGTGGGTGTTAGGCTTGTTTATTCTTCTGGACGATGACAGTAGGGATGCTTTCCACTTCGAATGAAGATGTAGGAATGCCCTGCCTATTCCTTCCTACCGTCTCAATTCCCAGGCGAGAATCATGGGCACGCCAATACTGGGTATTTAATTTTGAGGCGGAAGTTCTCATGAAATGTCTTTAGGGAGCTGGAATCGCTCCAGTAATAGCAATAGCCCGTTGACGCCTAATCGTAAGACCTCATTTCTTAAAAAAATACCCTAATAATGTGACTCCTGCTTTCTTATTCTTGCTTAACTAGGTGAAACTGGACATAATCGATCCCGTCGATCGCCACTCACCTTTTTGATATGAGTGGGCTTCGGCGTCTTTTCTGTTATAAAAGTACAGAACACTGCATACGAAAACTATGGCGACCAAAGGAATAAAAATATGGATACCTGAAAAAGGGTTCTAAAAGGGCAGTGACTGTAAAAGTTGTGGAATTACTGAAAAAACAGCTCGGAGGCAAGGGAAAGTTGTGCACGTACGACAGCTGCTGGTAGGGGTATGTCACATATAAGGTTTGAATGCCTTTTTAACATAGAAACGATATTGCCGATGAGCTATGCCATCTTTTAAGTCTTTGGAATGTCTCATGACTCACTTTCAACGACATCGTAGACGACATCCATTGTGGGTGGTCGCTTCGCTATCTGAAACAGCGGCAGCTTGATTTTGTGAACTCAGGAATCTTTTCATTTTACGGCGGTAGGTTAGACTGATCTCCGAAAGAACGATATCTAGATTCCTGATAATAACAGTGAACAAGACCTAAAGGCAGTCGCTTTGAGATTCTGGTCAGGGAAGGGTCGGCTAGCAAACGATACATTTGCGCCGAAATTAAACCAAAATCCAGCCCATCCTATATTCATTTCATTGTGGCCTATCCTATATTCATTCCGTTGCTTCTCGATTCTTTTGCTATGTAAACGCCCTCGTCGGTCGAAATAAAGATATCTCAGGAACTTCAATTCAAAGCTCTCGTACACTCGTAGAGTTGTTGAATGGACTAGATACGTTTTTGCAGTGCAGTGCATATATTTAATTGGCTTAACAGGGCAAATTCGATGATGGAGGTTGATCAAGAAAGTCAACAAGATCTAAATGACGATACTGCAAAGCAGAGTGCTGACATTCAAGCTCCACCAATGAAACAAGGTTACTCCACACCACAGCAGTCGAAACCAACCACTGATATGTAAGTGACATTCCTCGTTCTCTTTAGAATTTATAGAATCTTTCAGAGTTTTAAATAGAATATTTTCGATAAATTTAATCATCCTTACTATATATAAAGCGCTCGCGTCTGTCTGCCTGTTTGTTTGTTTGTTTGTTTGCACGGAAATTCATAACTTCTGTCCCCGTGGACCTAGAACGTTCTAATTTGGTAGAAGCACAGGCGGCAGGATGGGAACACTTTTGATGGGTGGTCGGACCGGAGGAGCGGGGCTTGCGCGAATTCAATGTTGGAGCGGGAAAATCATAACTCCTGTCTCTGTCGACCTAGAGCGTTCAAATCTGGTTTATTATAATTCGATATTATCTGAATCTCTTGAACGTCATCGAAAGTGAAAGAAATTTTTTTTAACTATTCAGGTTTTATTTCTTTCATATGGTAGTTCGCTTTGGTTTTTCGTGCGGAATCCACTGCGTCCATTAGGCCTCGCATTGGATTCTTCTCTAACGCATGCTAAAATTGTGGAGCTCGAAATTTCTAGAAGGAAGTGGGACAGGAAAACGGGAGATAGCATTCATGTTTGTAGGAGTAGCTTTTTTGTTTAAGAAGAAGTGCTTTAGGCCCTAGTTTTGCATTTTAACTATATGAACTAGTAAAAAAATATTTTTTAAGAGTTTTGAATGGGGTGGGGCGATAACGTAAGTCGAATACTAATGGCTGGGTGTTTAGAATTTTTTTATTTCCCGAGAAAGCTAGCTATCGTTTTCCTTTCTGTCTCAGCCTGCATTTTTCCGCGTCAAGGGAGGTGAAGTGGTTTGTTAACTTTTGGTCATCTAGGAGTTGTGTGTACCTAATCAAAAAAATGAGGCGACTTTTGTTAGGTTTAAAATCCATCTCATATTGTTTCAAAATAAACTCAGCAATCTTATCAAATTAAGACTCGTAGGGTGCATTAATCTCTCAAGGTTTCGACCTCCAAAATATTGGGTCTACAGCTATAATTATTCTACTTTATATGCATACACATATGTATATAGAGTTTTTTTGCCATAAAAGTTCTTTAAGATCCTGTCCTCTGTCAAGTATCCTGGTGGTTTATTTTTCGGGATTCGTTAAAAAAATTTAAAAAGCAGCTCACGGATTAGGTAGGTCTATGCTGGTCCCGTAGAGCGGATGTGGTATCTTGGTAAGTGGTGCACCATCAAGCGCGCATGGTCCTAGGATCGAATCCGGACTCAAACTTGCTAAGGCACACCAAGCCTTCCTTTTACGAGAGTCGGTAAATCGTTACCATTTCTCCTGAAGTTCATAATTAAAAGAATGTTGGGCTTTTGTATGGCATTGACGTGGTGACGTAGCAACTGGTGCTCAGAGAATGCTAAGCGTTATAAGTAGTTGTAATCTTTGATAGAAGGGCCAAAGATATGTGGTTTGAGATGGAGGATTAGCTCGGAGTTTGCTGAAGTATATAGTGTTTTTGTGGTAGCTGTGCAGCCCGCTGTCAGTTTAAGGGCATGGCAGCGCTGACATCGATTCGTTGGTCTCGCAGTTAAAGTGAGTATATGGGAATAGCCTTTCTCAACCTCGCTTATCGCCAGGCTGCTTTTTCTTATCAGGCCGACTCACAGCGAAACTCGGTCCTTTCACTATGGCAACCCTTGATGATGAGTCGGAACTGTTTAATAAAGGCAGAACTTTTTCCAGGTAATCGTTTTTGCTGCATCTCACTACAATGGGTGCTCTCTGTAGATAATTGTCAAATTCCTGAATTTTAACTGCTTCTTGAATTTTTGAATGAGATTTGGTGCTTAATTCGCGTGATCAGGGCGGAATCCCCAAATTGCAGGAATTTTGCGTTCCGAGCTGGTTTTTCCCTCACAAAATTATTTGATTATTAACCATCACAATTACAGACCGCAAGAAGGTCTCTACTTCCTTTTTCGCGCCTTCTACTGATTTTGTATGAGCGCGTTGTTGCAGCTATTATTGCTGCGGAACTCAGATGTAAATCTTGTTTTGAACAATGCATGTCTGGGAGGCACTCGCACAACGGGAGTCATTAATTCTTAATGTTTTTGTATCAGTCACCTATTTTAGCCATCGCATTCATGTGCACAACGCTTTTATTGATGTTTATAAGAATGTTCATACAAAAAATACCCTCTACAGCGGGACACCATTCATGATTATGTTGGGTTTTGAAATTATCAAAAAAANAAAAAAACACTTTTCTAGTCCTCCCCGTTTTCATTATATTTCACGTCTGACTTCGGACCTCATTGACAATTGAGATACGGTAAGAATTTTTCTATTACAAAGCACAAATGACTTAATCTGTGCAGGGGCACCGTTTCGTTTTTTCCGTTTGTTTGGTATATAAGTTTTTCACTTTCTTGCGTGTTAGATGATCTTCGAAATGGGGACCTTGCATTCAGAATTTCTTACTAATTAAATTCCATCGAATTCCGAAATTGTTGAATTTACGTTTAAATCTGAAAAAAACAGTGTATGAACAAAACCTTATTGTAGTAGTTGAAAGTTCTACGCATTTCCCTGGTTGTTTTACGTCTATCCTTCTCATCCTAATGTATTTAAGCCGTTCTAATCGTCATTTGGAGCGCCTTTTCCTTCCTAGTCTTTCGGTAGTCGTTTCACCGTCTGAGATGACTCCCTAAACTTAAGTGCCGCCTCTAAATGATAGGGGTCATGCGGGTCCAGGATAAGTGGGCCTGCACACCTTCTTCAAATAAGGGCAAGATGTTAGCTTATGCCAGTTATCAATGGGCCATTGATGCGTGAAAACCATGCTTTGTATGGGTGATTCAGGGGTTCTATTTTAGCTCCGGCGATAAGGAGGTAAATATTACACAATAATATGGTAAAATATTACTTTTCAAGACAGATAACCTACGTCTTGCCCTTGACGTTGTTAAAAGGCGGGCTTGGGACCACGCTTCTAGTGGTCTCTCTTCACCCGCACAATTCAAGGTTGTGGGCTAAGTAAGGGAACTATCGTGAGAGGGCGAGTTATTGATGTGGGATCATCGTCGTAGACCGATACCTTTTAGCACGGGTCTTCCTACTTCATTAAAGAGGCTGACAACCATGATAGCTGCTGGTGTGTGAGTTATGAGAAATAATCCACGGTGCACGTGTCACGCCATAATCCTTAAAATCTGACGAGCCAGATTTGATGAAAAACCACGCTGATTGAAGTGAGGAAGGTTGATCTACTTGGCGAGTGATTATTCATGGATTTTGAGAAATGCGACTGCCTTAGAGGGGTAGTTGACTGAGTTGATGACAAGTTAACCTCGGGTTACTCTCAGTTCCTGTAGCGGTAAGAGCTGGCACTAATTTTCGTGGTGTTTGATAGTGCTAAAGAATATGTGTTAGATGAGTGAGATAAAGAAAGAGTCGCGATCGTCCTCTGTTCCATATCAATCAGTGAAGGATAATGAGCAAAAATCGAAATTGTTCAATGTTTTTTTTTNTTTTTTTTTCCATAGTGGAGCCGAAATGAGTCAGGTCTGGAAGGTTGTTTACTTAAGTAACGTGGGATGGAGTGAACGACCGAGTTGTAAGAAGTTCTTTTTCACTCTACCCTTTCCGTTATCATAGGGTTGTTGCGAAAATGGGTCGTTAAACTAGTATTCAAGGTCTTCATTTAATGAAAAATCAATTCGTACGTTGACTGGCATTTTGTAACATTCAATCACTCATTTAAGACATCTTAGATTTGTTTATTATCAGTTACTTAACTTTGAATGACGCTTTTCTTCTTTTAATTTTTTCGTTATAAGTTAAAGCAGCTGAATCAATTCAGTAACCTTATAGGAAAATGGTAGAATTCAATTGAATATATGATGCCTAGGACGGATCTAACCAAAACCTTTACTCGCCGACCAGCGCTGCCGAAGGATATATCGCCGGTGCCGGACAACTCGGTGAAAAGTGATGGCGTAAGCCCGAGGTGAGTATAGCTTGAGAAGACGTATTAAAAACAATTCGTTGTCTCATATTGTCCTTTCATTCAAAAATATTCGCCCTTTGCTTCTCTGAGGGTCGCTGGTTGTTTTCGAGGAGAAACTCGATCTGCATTAACGGCGAGCCCTTGCTTTTATGAATGCCCAATAGCTCGCTTGTTTCTTTGACTGATTTGCTTAAGCATTCCACCGCTATGATGGTTTTGAAGAACGTGAGAGGAAGACATATTATTGTTATGCGTATTATAGATATTCCCGTTGGTTCTTCCACTAACTTTTTCGGTTGATTCTTCCATATCTAAAAAGCCCTGACCGGCTAAATGTTACATCGTTAGACTTGAAATGGTAGTGCGCGAACCCATTATACCGTAAGTTGGCCTTACCCCACCACATAAAAGATAAAGTTTTTGGCGTCAATCGATCCTGTCTGAGGGATGCGCCCCCCGCGCTCGACTTCCATTCAGAATCGTAGAGGCGTAATGAGTGCTTGTGTGGCCTATACAATGACTTGCGGTGGCCAGCCGATGTACAAGTCAGTGCTTTTATCCTCCCAGACGAGTCTGGTACCAATTAGCCGACCCCGGAGGGATGGAAGGCATGGTTAGCCTAGGCGGGTATCGATCATGGATTCGAACCCCTGACCGTACGTGTGAGTTAGTGCACCACTTGCCACTACACCACCTTTACCCATTTTGCGTGCATTTCCAACTCACCGAGCCTCACAGCAGGTCATGGTTCGCCGTAATACTTTGCGCTAGCGAAGGCGAAAAGCTATGGCGTTAAGCGAAAAGCTGTAGGCTTTGATCGATAGCTTACAACTCTACGACTGATGTCTATATTCTGCTTTGCTATCATTCATGTACCAACTAATGACAACTTTTATATATTCTCTCAATCGTGCTCGTTGAATAATACTTCTTGGAACTTGTTTCCTCGTACTTTTCTAGTTTCCACCTTTCGAGCACATCTAGTAGTGGGATTTTATTAAACATTCACTTATCCAAATAAGTGGGAAGGATCGTGATACAAGAGGGAGCAAAACAGATGTTGCAGCTCCCTGAAGGCATAGGATTCCAGCATAAATTATCGACTAGCGAGGCTACTGCAAAAATGAGAATCGTCTCAGACGACTCGAACATAGTTCGGAGGAGAATCAAAAGGGTATTCTTTGGAGAACGAAGAGAAAACTTTTCTAGGGAAGCTATGTTATAACTGTGCTGTCGAATCCATTTCATCACAGACTATATTTCTCATAATTTTTATTTTCATTTTCGTTTTTATGACTTAATGCAGTTACCAGTCACTAAATATTCCCATTTACAGAACAAATGTACGCTCGACCCGTCAAAAGACAATGACTATGGATTCATGTGGCACTCACGAGCTGAGAAAGTTATTCGCGGAAACAAGAGTGAGTACAGTGTGGAAAAGTTTTGATCCGTGAAATTCAATTTTCATCATGCTATTTGATTATTCCTATTACTCGATGTGATACTAGTGATAGTACAAGAAAGAGTGGCAACTATTTCAGCAATCTGGCTCGTCGTTAGAAGAATTGGAAGCAAAAGTAGTGGATCTTTTCCGTACGAAGGAAGCTGAAATGAATGGGCGTCTTGCTAAGGTCTTGGCTCTGATCTCTTCACAAAAATAATGTCTTACTACGTACCCAAAGATGAGTATATTTTAGGTAATGGAGCAAATGGAGCAGATGGAGAAGCACGATAGTAACAATAACGAAGCGAACCTTATGGTTTATCGGTCGTTGGTCTCCGAATACCAGATGATGTTAGAGGAGCTAACATCTGGAGCATGTCAGTGGTTTTCAAAGTTCACCGTTTTGCCATGGCGTTTCAATCTATTAGTCACTTATTCACATCATCTCCTTTTCGCTTTATTTTTCTCTCGCAGTAAACAATTCGAGACCGTGAATCACGGAAACTGGTTTAGCTTACTCCATTCCAGAAAAGCAATAAGCTAGTTGACGAGGTACCTTTCATCACGCGCATCCCTTCTGCCTATTCGGTCGTAAGGCCTCAATCAACCGAGAGGACGTGAATCAGTCTTTTAAATTTTTTTCGAAAACTAGCTTAGGGAAATAACTGGATGTGATGAGCATGAATACGTTGATTCATTCTGAATCATTGGGCTGGAACTCGATTAATCTAGCTTGGATAAAAGTTTGAAGTAAAACATCAGGCTTAAGCTGGTATAGATTAGTATCCCGGACTGGTGAATAAGAGCGTATGTCATTCTGTGATTTGCATTCCGAAATTCCAGCAAAGTTTTCATTCTTGATTTGGAACCGTTAATGGGTTCCCCAGAGCTTTTCGTTTACAACTGAACTGACCCCAGCATTAGCATCATGATGGCTCTGTAGCTGCTGAGAAATGCGCTCTTTTAGTTGCGTCCTTGAGTATATGACCAGTTGCGCATCTCAATCATTCAAATGATTGTGCATTGGTAAAGACCCCTAATAGAGGAAGATACCAGCAAAGTAATTTTCGAGAATAATTGTAAGGGAAAGAAATAATTCTGTCTATACTTTTTCTTATAGTAGTCATGCACAGCTGCTCTGCTTCAGATATTCACGTGGGACGGCTTGAAGAACATGGTTACTTGAAGAGTGGCGCGTGCGGAGGATCATGCAGAGCATCGACGTTAGTGTTTCTTAACGCTTGGCCCTTTAACGATAACTTTGATTTGCTTGTTCACTTTGCATTAGTCAAGTATTGTAGTCTCAAAAGAGTGTTTCTATATTTTTAAAAGAATGGCTTGACAAAGCCGCACTACTTATGAGACGGGACTTATAAAATGGTAAATGCATTGTAGATCAAGTGAAGCATAGGATCTTGTTCAGTTCTGATCTCGTCATCTGTCCCTTCTAATAAGTGATTGAACTTGACATATTAAGGCATCCAATCTCATATAAGGTTACCAGTGGGGTAGGCATACCAAAGTTCATTTTTTGGCCCATTGCACTTTCCTTTTTTTTCCTGACGTGGGCTGTTCTGAGAAAAACCAAGAGGTTTTGTCCATGGCACCGCTATTTCGGTGCATGTCCTACCCCTCGTGCTCCAGTGTGATCACATGTGCTTTGTTGACGTTCCCTAGCGAGCGTGTTACATATAGTAATGATGGTTTTCTGATTTTCCTCTGCTTTATACTATTTTTACTCACTTCTCTTACTTTACTTCAAGTTTTCACTCAGAATCAATAAGTTAAAGTCATTGTGAGTTATTAACCTCTTCAAATCGCTCTTGTTTCAAGGGAACGGGATTCGATAAAGGCGGAGTTGGACTCGATGCACGAAGACTACAGCAAACTCTATGATAGCTACAAGAAATTACGTAAAGTATCCGAAGATCAAAAGCTCGTACGTTTGAACGAGTCTTGTTCAAGTTCGACACTGTTAGTTGTTGTTATTTTTAGGAGTATGGTGGTTTACATGAAAGATATCTCGAAAAGCTCGAGGAGGTCAAACGTTTGCAAGGAAAAATGAGCCGGCTACGGGAAGACGCTCAGAATAAACTGGAACGGTTAGTGATCACTATGAATGCCATGCTATTCACAGTTAAACATGGGATTGTGCATGAAGCCGTAATCTCGAATATTCTTGTTTTATATTCTATCGTTGCTTAATTTCAGCGCCTCCAAAGATGTAGAAGACTGCCTTCGCGAACGAGATGAGAGTTTAGTTGGGCTGCGACTCAAAGTTCGTCAATTGGAAATGGATTTGAAATCAAGTCAGCGTGAACTGGAGATCAAGGTGGGTAGTTTCGACGAACATGGGCTTTCAGAACATTGTAGGTTGACATGTGCCAGCGTCGTTATGAACGCCCCCCACTGCTTATTCCCACCGCTTTCCGGGTCTTGCGGCGATGGCACATGACGGCTTGTTTGGGGTGTAAGAGGAGAAGGACATCTTCGTAATCTTGCAGAAACTGCGGAGATGTTTTCAAGTTAGAGAGAATCACCACGAGCATTTCTTATGACTGCCATTACTTTTACACAGTAGTCTTACACAGATGGTTCAATAAAAAAGAGCCATTCAAAGCAAGCGTTTCTAACGTTCAAAAACTATTCAGTGCAGCGACAGGCTTCACCTGCGTGATGTCGATCGACGTGAACGGGTGCGGGGTCGGGAGTGCGTGTCAGTCAATGAATGGTATATTCATAGCGTCATTGTGGCAGAGGCGTCGAGCGTCACCGTCGAGGCTCGACACTTTTATGTAAACTGGTGTCTGCCGGAGCCGGTATGGACGGCTGGAGCAGGTCATTCATGTAGCTGAGCTGTATAGAGCACTCAGGTCACTATATCAAGAAATGAACTCAGTCTAGCGCGTTAATCCTTGTTATATAAGCACTTTGTCAGAAGCGATGGGGATGATGGGCCCCGGCCGTCTGTGCTCTTTTAGCGGTTTTAGCCTAGGAAATGTAGTTTTTCAACTGAGCCGGGGTAGGGTAGGAGCACCTGGTTGGGTGGGATGATTATTTCGAGCGAAAGGAAAGAAAAAAAGAAAGAAAACTTGCTCACCGTGGTGTTCCTTCCTTCCTTATACTTAGTTAGAAACTGGCATGTCCCTGATGTAACAGGGCTTAACACCTATCATTGAGTTCGTTTCATTCCTTGTTATACTAACATTGCGATAGGTGCCCCTCCCCCCAAACTACGTTTTCAAAAAGGTAGATCGTTATTGAAGACCTCTTAGACGAATTCAGAGGAACAAGGAAAAGTAATGGGGACTAGTATGAAGACCGGGATTACCAAAAAGAAGCAAGTAAAATACCACGAATAGCAAGATGATGCCAAGTGGATACCATCAGTGATCAACCTGAAGAAAATAAAGTTGATATAACGAAAGAAGTGGGCTATAACAGGTCCAGATAATGTTTCAAAACTTCCCTAGAGGCGCAATAATTGTGAGGTACCCCTTTATAGTCAAAAAGCGGAAGTGTAGAGTGGGAACAGTTTACTGGTAGTGAAGAAAGCGAGAAAATTCGCCAATTTCAAAAAAATAGGGCTCAAAGGTGGGATAACAGAGTTTGGACGAGATTACCATGACGGGAGTAGCATGGAAAGGAGATTCGAACGAGATTTCAGTTGTTGCGATTGCGCAAAGAACTGACTATACAAACCACAACTGTACAGAACTACCTTTCACTGTCACCACAGGTCATGAAAAGTGTTTGACTTCCCTACATGATTTCCTTGCGACTGGTGCAGCCTCTACAATGCCGGTGAAACTCGCCCGAGGACACTGCAATAACGCCCTATTTAGGTCGTTTTTCGGTATGACAGCGCCACATTCGGCACACAAGGGTCCTACAAATTCATTCTAGCGAGATATCTCAAAAACCATTTTATCGTGAACTGTGCCTTTAACTACATCCACTGTCGACCTGTGGAAAGTGGATCAGCGACGGGCGCCGTCACAGAGCGTCGAGCGCTACCATTGACGCAAGAGCTTCACTAGTCGACATTACAGCTTTACCTACTGGCGAAGAGCGTTGAGCGTCGGCGCTCAGCTCATACGTCTGTGACGCTCAATGCTGTATAATGAAAGCGCCCAGTGCAACCAGAAAATTTCGACACTTGCGAAATGAAGATTTTCAAATAGCTTTTTCTTCCAGAAGAACGAGGCCGTTGAGCTGCGCGACATATGCGATCAGTTAATGTCTCAAATGGAACCTGCATCTGACGTAGAACAGTAATTGTGGATCAGTGATTGAGTGTGAAATATACTTGCATAATTTATTATCTGTTTGTTTCTCTTGCTTCTCGGTCACAAAAGTTTTGTTTTTCACAGTTGTATCAGTGGTACGTATAGCAGCATTCCAATGTGTCTCCGCAGCTTTGCTTGTTGTATCATCTTTAGCGGAATTTTGTCATGTGTGATCCTAAGCTATTTTCTTTAAAATGACTTTCGGGTCAGCATTTTTAACCGCATGCTTGAACTAATGACGAAACCCAATTCAGTGTGACTACTGTGCCCTCTTTATCTAGCTACTCTTATGAGCTGAATTCACTTATTCAATTTTGCTGAGCCGCCTTGCATGCTGTAAAAATTCAATCAAAGATGTCTTCGTTAAGCTTCCTTGCGCTCGAGAGATACGTAAAAGCTAGTTTTATTGGAACCTTCAAAGATGCAGCAAGTTCTACAAATGCGAAATAGGTCGTATTTTTGTTTTCCGCACCGAGTGCTTGGATATATCCTTCGTCTCTTACACTTGCGTGTTGAAAATGCGAACTACGCGTAACCGGAAAAGCTTGTGATGATTTGCGATTCCAAGGGGAAGGCTGAGGTACCGTAGCGCTAAGGGACAGTACCGCGCATTAAGAAATGCTGTGAAGAAAGCTCGTTCCATATAATATTGTGGGCCTTGGCTGTCGCCATGATTCTGCCCTGGAGGATTTTTTTTTCGTTAGAAATTACGTGGCAACAGTCTCGATTTTTCTCCAATGTGAGGAGGTTCTGTTTTACAGTATAGGTAGTCTAGCTCGAGTAAACTGCTGACAGTCCCACAGTCTGGACATCTTGTCTAACCACAACATTAGGGAAGTTGCTGTAAACTCCTCCAATACTTAATTCATTAGCGCCCACAAAGATAGTGAGGATAAATTCCAGTAGGTTCGAATTTCAGGCTTTGAAGAAGGTGAAGATGTCGAGACTCAGCTCAGTAAAGATGTACAATCTTGAGAAGGCTAGAATCACCACAATCACAAGTCGAGCTCATGCCTAGATTAAGAGAAAGTTGATCCATTCCATTCATTCCACAAGGATAGTTTTTGAAAATACTTTCCATAAATGATACCCATTGCCCTAACACGAGTACTATTGTTAAAAATTCAAAACTGTCAACACGGATTGGGGACGACGAGTGGGACTGACTGTTACCGAATGAGTAATGTAAGGGAATTCTCTGATGGGTTCAGCATTGATCAAGGAAATCTCAGGTAAAAAACTGTGGGCGAATAAGTAATCGCTTCTAGAGAACACCTGCAGTCTCGGCTATACAATTCGGTGAGAAATATTGATATAATAGAAACAAAAGGATACACTTTACGAGTAGTAATCTGCATGTAAGATAAAGCGTAGTGAGCCATTTGTGGACACTGTATTCTCCTCCTTGATTGGTGGACTCCTGTCTAATGGTAGGATGTCTCGTTGCGGTGGTTGATAGAGTTTAGGCCGAGTCTGTTAGAAATGGGAAAAAAACATTCGTTTCGTCGTAACTTTCGGAACAAAAAGGCTAATGGTCCAGGACCAGTGGCGCACACATGCTCCGACACTACTCACGACTCACCTAAATCTAACAAGCCCCCCCCCCCCCCCCCCCACTCCTTTACCGGGTTTCCCATGGTGAAAACACCGTTTTGGACATCGGCTAGCCACCGAGTTATTGTATTGGTAACACACGGATTCAAAACATCACTACATTGATGTTGGAGGCGGGACGCATCGCACGACGGGACCGATCAACACCGAAGTGGCATCACCCTTTGTTCTTATCAGAAAACATCGATGATTTCCAAGAAAAAAAAAACCCAAAGAATGAGAGCTGTTTTACCAGCACCTTAAAGAGGTATGGAGATTTTGAAATGGAAGGATCATCGCTGAATAAGAGATTTGATTGATCAAATAAAGCTATGAATGCGATACCGAAATGATGTTATGTCGATTTACGTCACTTTTGAATCGTTCCAATTATGAGACCGTAAGAGTTATTCTTCACTTCGCTGTTATGAATTCTTGGCGGCAGGGGTCCTACGCAAAAGGAAATATCCGACTCAACGAATTCGGGTTTGTCTCGCGACCTCTACACTACTTCCTCTTTTCTCGGAAAGAATATCTACTTCAATTTCGAATGATTGTCGTGGAAGACTCTTGAAAAGGGCAAACGATAATGGAGTTTCAGGAATAAAGTTATTTATTTGAGACTGCCGTAGTGAGGATCTTGCGATGGCGCGGATTGAGGAAGAAGTCGTAGTGGAATTTATTCTTCGGAAAAGAGAAAAACTTAGAAAATTCTCAGAAAATTTTTTCATTCCAAGAAAAAGAGCAGAAGATTAAGTGTATATTGAAAGGCTCTGCAATGAGAAAGGATGTATGTATGTATGCGACAAACAATGCACAGAATAATATCAAGGGTACAATGAGTCTACAGAAAAAGAGCAGGAGATGGCTTGCTGAGTGTTTCCCGATCACCGCAAGAATGTGTGCTCGTTACCATTTACCAATAAATACCCTTACTGTGAGAAGTGATTGAACGTCATGCTTACTCTTTTCTAGCTCTCAATCATTGTTGGAAAGTCTTGAAAACGTGTAATAGATATTATTTAGTCAATGCTTACAGTTTCTTGGATTTTTCTGGATCAGTTTCCTATTTTTACAACCCTGAACTGTTCATCTTTCTACTGAGTGCACATTGAGTGCAAATAATAAATAAATAAATAAATAAGCACCAGACCAGTAGTCTTTGCCGTGGTCTGTTAGGTAGGAGCATAGTTCTGAGGCCTCTTGGGAGCTACCAGCGGCACTTGAGAAAAGGTTTTGTCACGTGTGTGCAATGGGCACGTATTTTCACTGGGTAGCAACTACCCAGCAGCATTTAGGTTCAAAAGATGGATCGAGAACCGGCGATCTTCATTATGCTATATTCAATCATGTCGATAAGCAGAAAGATCCCAATGCCGACTCCATTAAGTGTTGTTTGAGAGCTCATCACAGTTGGTCCCATTCTTTTAGATCACACTAAAGCGAATTAACTGTTGAAAGTCTTAAGAGTGTGAGGAGAATCCAAATCAACTTTGACATTAATCTCTTGCTTTTTTACTGTTCCTAATCAGGCAGTCCCAATGGGGTGGGGTGTGTGCTCATTCGTGCGATTCTGGGTTCGCGCGGCAAATTGCGCGGCGAAATTCGGTGCGATTCAAAAGACTCTGACCCCCATTATTGGGGGACAAACTTGAAGTAGTATAGTTGAGTTTGGTCAGCTGATCCTACTAATCTACTCCACTTCAAGTTTGTGCTCCAATAATAGGTGTCTGAGTCGTTCGAATCATCACAAATTCCGCCCCGCAATTTGCCGCGCGCACCCAGAATCGCACGAATCGTGCGTCCCCCAATGGGGTGCAGTAGTACTGCAATTGTGCGTTCATGAGCAATGCAGCCCTACAAAATCTGCACCTAACAGTGAGCCATATCGACCCACGCTAGAAAGTTCATGCTCTTTCAGAGAGGTAACAAACGATTATTAGCGTCTCCAAGGAGAATACGATGTTCGATAATTCTTCACATTTAATGTCACTAGACCTTCTCATACAAGATAAGAAATGCAGTAACGGTTAAGGTACCCTGCTTTACTTGTTCAGTGGGAGTTCGCAAAAAACAATCAATGGTTTTCTATGTGGAGTCTTAAAATGACCATAACTAACCCGGAGACCTTCTTCGAATTTGATTTGAGAATCATTACACAGCGTAAAAAAACTAACAGTAGTAACCAAAATGTACAGCTATTTCGATGTATTGCTATTGCAATGTTGAGAGAACCCAATCATCATAGGATGCTCAAATCAAGGACTGATGATAAAAGACACACCTCCCAAATCTCCTGGAAATAAGCTCATACTGGAAACCTGAATCGAAGGAATTGGGTGCTTGGTTCTTTCTTCATTGTGCGAAGGCTCATATTTTGCGAAAGCTTATGAACATGACTGGAAGGTCACTTCAGCTGGAGATAGAGTGAGTGATGTCCCTAATTGTAAGTCCAAGCATAACCTCAAATGAGCCCTACGTTAAACAAGATCTCAACGTCAGAAAATTTGAGGCAATGATTCGGGAAATCACTTTGGAATGTTGCTCCGGAACAGTTCCGGTGTACCGTGTTCTGCAACTCTGCTACGAGAATTTTATAGTAGCAGGTGAGGAAAACTCGAAGAAGTCTATCAGAGAACTCATTATAATTCAGACAATAGGCGTTGAAGAACACGTCTAGGAAGAGAGCGTTCGTGTTGTCTACTATGCTGCCGCCAGGCTCAACCTCCCTGGCTTCGTATCGATTCTTCGTCATTGACCAGTGTAGACGTTCGGGTGCATTATTGCGCTGGGTTATCAACGAATTTGAAGAATGGCTTTAAGCCACCAAGTTGATATGGTGGAGCACGCTCAACGCATGAATATTTCCATTCAAAATCGCGGCCGTATCGCTGAGTCCATAGTTGGCCTACACGATGATTTTCAGGAGTTAGTCAGTGCTTTTATTATTTTTTTCTTCCTATCGCGATTTTCTTCCTTGACACAGCCGACCAACTAAGCTTCCCGATCGACCACGCCAAAGACACATACTCATTGCACATTAAATTGTTATTGAAATCCATTCCACTAGCCAGATTGAACAAGAAAGTTTTTTTCTGCGAAGGATTAGCTTCAATCCTGAAGAAGGTATACAGGAAAAAAATTCAACAGTTCGTAAGCCGGAATGATCTCAATGTTTCTAGACTCTTCGAATTTTTACCAATATGACTGCTCCGAAATCCCAGAATATCCTTTGAAGAGTCTTTCATGGAAGCTTCAACTCAGGAAAGCGGTGTGATATATTACACACCACGTATACGGAGCAGAGAAATTTTTCTTTCACAGATGCTTAACGAAAAAAACCAAAGGCACAGTCCACAATAAAAATGGTTTCTGAGTTTTCCCTCATAATACCCA